TGAGGGGGGACATGATAGCAGTTTTCAGATATCTAAAAGGGTGTCATAAGGAGGAGGGAGAAAACTTGTTCATCTTGGCCTCTGAGGATAGAACAAGAAGCAATGGGCTTAAAGGGAGCAGCAAGGGAGGTTTAGGTTGGACATTAGGAAAAAGTTCCTAACTGTCAGGGTAGTCAAACACTGGAATAAATTGCCCAGGGAGGTTGTGAATCCCCATCTCTGGAGATATTTAAGAGTAGGTTAGATAAATGTCTATTAGGGATGGTCTAGACAGTATTTGGTCCTGCCATGAGGGCAGGGGACTGGACTCAATGACCTCTCGACGTCCCTTGTTTATTAGGTGATGAGCTTTCGTGGGCCAGACCCACTTCCTCAGATCAATTTGTGGAAGAAAATTGGCACAACCATATATACCAAAGGGATACAATCAAAAAAAATGAACACATATGAAATTGACAAATCAAATTTTAGAACAGAGTGGGGGTGCTTAAATTTGACACTTTATGTATGGGTCTCAACAAAGATTCTAATTATCTCACCCATTACAAAGATAGCTTCCCCAATTATCACCCTTAAAGTCATTACCTCACAGAAACTTCCCCTAATATCACCTCAATGTCATTACCTCACAGACACTAACCTTCCCCCCTCACCTCCATTCTGTTCTAAAATTTGATTTGTCAATTTCATGTGTTCATTTTTTTGATTGTATCACTTTGGTATATATGGTTGTGCCAATTTTCTTCCACAAATTGATCTGAGGAAGTGAGTGTGACCCACGAAAGCTCATCACCTAATAAACCATCTTGTTAGTCTTTAAAGTGCTACATAGTTCTGTCTATTGTTTCTACTGTGTACCATGTCTCTTTTGCCCAAGCCAGATAATATTAATAGCAGGCCCCATTTTCAAACTTTTTCTTTTCTAATTTTACCATCTATTTCCTTCCCAATCACTGAACAAAGCTACAAATCACTGTAAACAAACTATATATAAGCAATTATTTACCACACTTCCTAGTGCCCAATTAACCATGTTTTCTTTATTCTCATTAGCTTAACCTAAACCTTAAATAACACAAGAACTATTCTTCTATTTCATGATTTCATTCTCTTTATTCACATGCTATAGATCTAATCCTTGTGCTAATACAGGCTAGGCCTATAGTCCTACACTTTGCCTTCTCAAATGAATGTGAAATTAGTGCCACTGATTTCCAGGGATGGCCTCAATTGTGCTAAGCACCAGTTTCAATGGTGAAGTTGCCCAGCTGAGCCTAGCAGGAAGGATGGGCTTCATCGGCACTGGTAGCATTGACAGAGTCCAAATTTCTATGGTCTTGGCTGACTCAAGAGCTCCCCCTCCCATTCCCCCTGCCAAAGCAATCCATGGCAGATCTGTGCCAGACTTAAAGGAGTTGTCTACAGGTGCCCCAAGCAGGGCTTGAAGGCAATACCCATCTTTCTCAAGTGCTCAAATGAAAACTGTTGATCTATCTGCCTCCTCTGTGCATTACACTTGACTTGAAGGTATATGACAAAGTAAATGTGGTCCATCTATGTCACTGCACTGAGTTCTGCACTGAGTTCAGAGCTGTTAAGTAGCCTTCCTTCTCTTTTCTATGCTACATACATACCGAGGTAAGAGAAGAAAAACTGATCGGTTGAGAGAAGAGTTGGAACAATAGAGAACAAAGCATCAAAAGAGGCATTGAGGGACACTACTAAGTCATCTGGCACAGAAATGGTGGAGATTAGAGCTGCCTAATAACATCTGTGGTACCAAAAGAGCCTGGCTCAGGCACTGGTGTGCTGAGAACAGTGCTGGGGCCTGAGCACCACTGAACTGGCCTACAGAAGCACCAACATGCAGAGGAAAGCACCAATTCATGAAAAAAGAACAGATATCAAAGTGTGAAAACAGTGCAGAGCACCACAATAGTGACATCAGAAACACCATACACTGAATCAAGGCATTTTCCAAATTAACTGCAAACATCACCCAAACATTTCATATTGAGGAGTAACCCAGCATCAATGCAACAAAGATTCATTTATAATTAATGTATAAATAGCAGATTAAAAGATGGATAATAGAGGCTTTTACAGCTACATACAGCCAGTGTTCCCTCTAATATTTTCCATCCGTGTAGAATAAATGTTATGTGCACCACCAGTAGAAACACGTTACCAGCTGTGGGTGCTCTGCTAATTAGCTAGGCAGCGTTTAAATCTCTCATAGGTGGTTGTCCACGCTCTCAGCTTCCAGAGAAGCTGGCAAGTAGCACATCTTTTACAGATTTTTGTCCCTAGATAGTCAGTGAACTAGACAAAGTAAATTTTTCTAACATTGTCAGTAAAGAAGAATCCAAAATGTCCATTAATGTCTAAAATACACTTTACACTTTTTAAATATTCAACTCATATTAAAAGTCCATGTTTAATCTAAAATTAAATTAAAAATGTGTTGCTAATTTCCAGGAGGTCCCCAACATGATTTGGGGGTCAGTTCCGGCAGATCCAGCCCTGAGGTACAGTTATTCCTTTTAGTACATTGCAAAATCTCCACCGTATAGCTCTGACATATCAGTATCAAGGATTTGATGTATTTAAGGCTCTGAGATCAGATCTGGTTCACATCTGATCTGTCATGGGGAGAGTTTTGTAAATAGATAAGTCAAATTAAGGTTAAAACATGGTTTTCTCTCCAAATTGTTTTGTGAAATCTGGGCTGGAGGAAATGTGCTTCATATGACTGGAAGACAGGATGGCATGTAGAAAGAATGAACAGGTTTTCTAACACATACAATTTCTTCATCTGTTTCCTTTACAAAGGTCTCACCTTTCATCATGTAGCCACATTCTAAAAAACTGACAGCTGAGTAAAAAGATTCCACTAGATTAAAATATTCCTGGAATGTGGAGCATGAACACATGGAGCTGACTCCTAAATTGCCTCTGCTCAATCCAGAAAACCACCACAATGTGCCGGAACATTCCGAACTGTTTTCAGCCCTCTACTGACTAACTGCAAATCTCCACAACCAATTTCTACTCATCCTGGAGAAACTCCCAGAGATAGGGCAAATTTAGTGGGAGACTTTCAAAAGAGCTCATTTCCTCGGGATGCCTAGAGGAGTGCTGAGTTCTTCTGAAACTCTGTTTCTGTGGAATAACACCCAGATTCCAACCCTACACTTCTCTCCTATTTCAACATATGCACAGTCTCCCGCAACACAAAAGCCACAGGCCAGGAAGTGAGAAACTCCTAGACCAAGAGTAGTCATGTAGCTGTATAAGATGCTGTTATTAACAGGACTTGATTTACACAATCAAGCAACTGTTTGGAGCAAACACAAAAACAGCTTAATCACAATGGTTCCCTTCATCCATGTGAGTCCACCGTGATGTTATGGACTAGGGCAGAGGTGGGGAATCTTTTTTGAGTCAGGAGCCTCTGACCTACAAAATAATCAGTTGAGGGCTGCACACAAGTGAGAAGCCCCTGACGGAGAAGGAAAAAGACACTCCTCACATTCCCCTCGCACATCAGAGCCTGGGGGGGCCAGGCTACTAGATTTTGTGTGCTCCAGCCCTGTGGGTAGGTGGCAGGGGATGCTGGAGCACCAGTGCAGGCTCCCTAAGGTGGAGGATCCTAAGCCTCGGGGGCCAGATCAAGGCAAGCTGGGGGCTGCATCTGGCCCCTAGGCCTGAGGTTCCCCACCCCTGGACTAGGGGTTCTCAACCATTTTCTTTTTGAGGGCCTCCGAACATGCCATAAAACTCCATGGCTCACCTGCGCCAAAACTGCCTGTGTATAAAAGCCAAGGCCTGCATTAGACAGTAGCAAGTAGGGCAATTGTCTGGGCCTCACACCACAAGGGGCCCTGCAAAGGCTATGTTGCTCAGCCCAGTGCGACTGGGCGTGGGGCCCTGGGCTGCAGTTCTACATAGAGAGGCTTTGGCTTCTGCACTAGGCCCCGTGCTTGGAGGACCCCCAAACCTGCCCACAAGGGTCCCAGCCACTGGCTGAGAATCACTGCCATGGACCAAACACTCTTCCACTTCAGAGACTATATTTAGTCCATTTTCATTCTCAACTGGAAGTGTCATCCTGCTCACCTCCAGGCCAATACAGACTCGACTCCCCTCCCCTTCCCACGCTGTCCCCTGAGCAACCCACAGCAGGCATCTGTCTGCTGCTCTGACAGTTTGTCTGACCCCATATTTACACTCACCTGATCAAACGACCCTGCGTGGGCAGGTGAAAAGGCAAATGGCCGCTGTAGTCAGCTGCGCTTTAGGAGGGGTAATTAGTTCAACATGCAAAAATCGTTCTTTTAAAGAATGCATACAGCTCACTCTGATTAAGGCCTCTGATGGGAGGGACAAAGGGGGGCAGCTGCCTCAGGGACTGGCAATTTAAAAGGGCCCAGGGCTCCCAGCCACCATGCTTGCAATCTCAGTAGCGGCAGCAGCCAGAGCCTCAGGGCCTTGACATTGCTGTCAGAGCCCCAGCAGTGGTACAGGAGGGCGGGCTGGCAGCCCCCACCCCTTCTGGGGGCCGAGTTGCCTCCTTCTTCCCCCCTTTCCCAGCGAAGTCTGTCCTCAGCCTTGCTTCTGGCAGTGGCCAACGCTGCATGTGTTGGAAAGGGCACGACCCCTCCCGGTGACCCAGATATAAACACTACCCTTTCTATGAGGAGGAGGACGCCTGTGCAGGGAGGTTCCTCACCTGGCTCTGACAAAGCTGCTGACGAGCTCATTCCCTGGTGCACAGGGTTGGGAAGCCACTGTATCGATGTCCTCAGCTGTGAGACCCTTGTGCCTCCTGAGCCTGACCCACAAGGACACGACCCCTTACTTCTTCAGCTCCCAGGCCCACCCATGCTGCGAGACCAGGCCCCTTCCCGTGTGCTAGCAGAGCACCCCGCGCAACGGGGCTCCCATCTCGACTGGGGCCCGCCAGCTCTGCCGCGACACGCTACCCGTCACACTGTGCTTTCCTAAAGGGGCGCAATGCACATGTTGCTCTTAGCTGCATACGCGTCTAATGGTATTTGGTAAGCCTGCCCAGCTCTCGCCTTGTCACGCTGCATGCTCTGATCCGCAGCCTCCTCAGCCTCGCCCCATACCGCTCTCTCCTGTTAAAGAGAAGTCAGACAAATGTTCGTGGCAGCAACTTCGACTGTACAGTCACAGAGAAGGTGTCTTAAGCATCTGAGGGTGTCAAGGGTAAGATCCCTACGGAGATAAACGCTTGGTTTGCAAGGTCTGATATTATAGGGGATCTCTGCTAAAATCAAAATGGAGGAACTGTCATCCATTTTGTGAAACAAAATGAAAGACAAGCCACATGCCCTGGGTCTGTCAGATCATGATTTTCCCGCCTTTGGCAGAAAACAGGTAAACAAGTTCCAGTTTAAACTGGATTTACCTCAGAAGTACGACACACAGGGTCTCCCTGCAGGGGCCCACGCTGCGGGGTCTCCCTAGAGGGCGGGGCTGCAGGGTCTCCCTAGAGGGGCGGATGCTGCAGGGTCTCCCTAGAGGGGCGGATGCTGCAGGGTCTCCCTAGAGGGGCGGATGCTGCAGGGTCTCCCTAGAGGGGCGGATGCTGCAGGGTCTCCCTAGAGGGGCGGATGCTGCAGGGTCTCCCTAGAGGGGCGGATGCTGCAGGGTCTCCCTAGAGGGGCGGATGCTGCAGGGTCTCCCTAGAGGGGCGGATGCTGCAGGGTCTCCCTAGAGGGGCGGATGCTGCAGGGTCTCCCTAGAGGGGCGGATGCTGCAGGGTCTCCCTAGAGGGGCGGATGCTGCAGGGTCTCCCTAGAGGGGCGGATGCTGCAGGGTCTCCCTAGAGGGGCGGATGCTGCAGGGTCTCCCTAGAGGGGCGGATGCTGCAGGGTCTCCCTAGAGGGGCGGATGCTGCAGGGTCTCCCTAGAGGGGCGGATGCTGCAGGGTCTCCCTAGAGGGGCGGATGCTGCAGGGTCTCCCTAGAGGGGCGGATGCTGCAGGGTCTCCCTAGAGGGGCGGATGCTGCAGGGTCTCCCTAGAGGGGCGGATGCTGCAGGGTCTCCCTAGAGGGGCGGATGCTGCAGGGTCTCCCTAGAGGGGCGGATGCTGCAGGGTCTCCCTAGAGGGGCGGATGCTGCAGGGTCTCCCTAGAGGGGCGGATGCTGCAGGGTCTCCCTAGAGGGGCGGATGCTGCAGGGTCTCCCTAGAGGGGCGGATGCTGCAGGGTCTCCCTAGAGGGGCGGATGCTGCAGGGTCTCCCTAGAGGGGCGGATGCTGCAGGGTCTCCCTAGAGGGGCGGATGCTGCAGGGTCTCCCTAGAGGGGCGGATGCTGCAGGGTCTCCCTAGAGGGGCGGATGCTGCAGGGTCTCCCTAGAGGGGCGGATGCTGCAGGGTCTCCCTAGAGGGGCGGATGCTGCAGGGTCTCCCTAGAGGGGCGGATGCTGCAGGGTCTCCCTAGAGGGGCGGATGCTGCAGGGTCTCCCTAGAGGGGCGGATGCTGCAGGGTCTCCCTAGAGGGGCGGATGCTGCAGGGTCTCCCTAGAGGGGCGGATGCTGCAGGGTCTCCCTAGAGGGGCGGATGCTGCAGGGTCTCCCTAGAGGGGCGGATGCTGCAGGGTCTCCCTAGAGGGGCGGATGCTGCAGGGTCTCCCTAGAGGGGCGGATGCTGCAGGGTCTCCCTAGAGGGGCGGATGCTGCAGGGTCTCCCTAGAGGGGCGGATGCTGCAGGGTCTCCCTAGAGGGGCGGATGCTGCAGGGTCTCCCTAGAGGGGCGGATGCTGCAGGGTCTCCCTAGAGGGGCGGATGCTGCAGGGTCTCCCTAGAGGGGCGGATGCTGCAGGGTCTCCCTAGAGGGGCGGATGCTGCAGGGTCTCCCTAGAGGGGCGGATGCTGCAGGGTCTCCCTAGAGGGGCGGATGCTGCAGGGTCTCCCTAGAGGGGCGGATGCTGCAGGGTCTCCCTAGAGGGGCGGATGCTGCAGGGTCTCCCTAGAGGGGCGGATGCTGCAGGGTCTCCCTAGAGGGGCGGATGCTGCAGGGTCTCCCTAGAGGGGCGGATGCTGCAGGGTCTCCCTAGAGGGGCGGATGCTGCGGGGTCTCCCTAGAGGGACGGACACTGCGGGGTCTCCCTAGAGGGGCAGGCGCTGCAGGGTCTCCCTAGAGGGGTGGGCACTGCGGGATCTCCCTACAGAGGCGGGCGCTGTGGAGTTTCCCTAGGGGGCGGACTGCTTAGAGGGGCGGACGCTGCAGGATCTCCTACCTAAGAGGGCATAAAAGTCCAATAGCCAGGCAGTTCGGGGCTGCCCATCCTAGTGGCTGTGTGCGCGCAAGGTGCGCGGGGTTTTCCTTACAGATCATCGGACTCCAGAACAAGACAGCTGCTGCAGCCATACAGAAGACTCCACTGAAGACCATCGCCAGCCTCCCTGGCTGCTACTCACCATCATCACACAGAAGAGGACTCCAAGGGCTCTCCTCAGTGCTCCTCTCTCAAAGCTCTCGGTGAGCCGCAAGATTTGAGGTCCTGAGCAACCATCTGGGAACTATCAAGAAGGTTGCTATAAACTTTTGTTATTATACGTACCATACCAATTGGACTCAGCCAAAATGTTGCTTTTCCTTGTGGGTTTTGGGCAATTGATTACTGTACCATTTATTGTGTGTTTTTTTTTAATTACTATTACCCCCCTGCCCCAAAATCCCCTAATTTGTAAATTTACCCTTCATAAATTGGTTATTGTTTGGTTCACCTAAACTGGGTCCTTTGATTAATTAAAACATGCCACCAGACAATAGATGCTGGCTGTCACAGGACTCAAACAGAAGGTCTAGTATCCTTAGGGAACCCCTCTGCAGCCTTATCATTTCTCCCACTTAACAAGGGCACTGTATATAAGTGGTAGGATCTGGGTGAATGACTAGCAGGTTCTTCCTCCTCTAGTGTTTCAGCAAGTGATGGGGTGAACACATTGAGGATCCTTCTGGCACTAGCTCCCTGCCAAGCAAAATTGCCAAAGTGCTCCCAAGAAAGATAATGTCCAAACAGGGTGTCAACAATCTCCTTTCAAAACTGCTAATCACAACGAATTCCCGAGTGTCCAAATATGAGATGACATGAGTCCTGGTGTGGGCCCTTGCCCTCATCATAGTAAGAGTCTGGGCTGCTGCTCTGACCAAGTGTAGCTATCCCATATTTACACTCACCTGATCTGCCTAACGGTTGACCTTTTCTCTGTCACATATTACAGCATCACCCTGATAGCTGTGTTCAACTGTCCCTCTCGGTCTGAGGTGCCCTGAGCCAGGCCCTCCCTGCCCAGACCCACAGTGGCCTGAGCAAGGCACTGCCTGCATCCATCCATCCATCTAGACCAGAGGTGCCCTGAGTCAGCTGTCCTTGTGTTCATCTGTCTGTCTAGACCTGAGGTGCCCTAAGCAAGGCCCTCTCTTCACCTGTCTGTAGGGTTGCCAGGTGTCTGGTATTGTACTGGACAGTCCGGTATTTGCCCCCTTTAGCCGGTAAAAAAAAAAATCAGAAAATACTGGACATGTGTAATTTTCTGATTGGCTCCCCGCCGGCCAATTTGCTCACCCCCACCCTTC